CCAGAGCTCACAGTGACTGGTATTCTGTGTGAGAAACAGGAGACCTGTGATTGGAAGAAGTCACCGTTACTGAAGCCAAATGTAATGTCTCTCTAAATCCTTGATCTTCTTGGACTTGTCGACCTCAGCTCTGCCACTCATCACTCTCAGTTTAAACTACATTAAAATCAAGAGAAGTTGTTCTTCTCTGACCTAATGGCTGTCAAAGAGTGAAGACAGTTTTAGCAAAACATGGTTACATACATGTTTTTACATATGTCTTCATTGTAATAATCAGCAGGACAACTGATAACTCATATAATCCCATTGAGAAGAAAATACATAATTAAGCCAAATGGCTCACATCACTTCTGAGGGCACAGCACGTTGGTTTGGTTCATACCATTTAACGTAAACGAATCGTCTACTACAGCTTGACCTTGAAGTTATAGACAGATGTTTTTGCCATTTTCTAATGATACAATTCCAGTGTCTACAGGCTTGTTTCCCCACAGCTCCCACAAACCCGGGGGACGTCAGCCTTACGTTTGAAAATACTTCTGTTTCACGACATACTCAGTATTGAAGGTGTGTAAGTAATGACACAACAACTTTGACCAAATGACCAAAAAATCGCTTATTCAAATGTTAGAGTTGCCGTTAGACTCATTAGACGTTGCAAATCTTTTCCGGTTTTAAATAAGACATTCAGAGTAATCTTCAATGATCCCTGACACCAGTCATCACTACTCTGCCCCCTGAACCATGTCCTTCGCTCCGTGTAAGTTTAGAGAGCGGTTGTAAATAAATGACAGTCATCAAACATCTGCTCTCATCGTGTGCTGTTTGAAAGGACGTCTAATGTTACACGCTGCCTCTTTAAGACTTCACTTCTTATTCCTGGGACCGAACGTTCAACAGGAAATGACTACATGCCCTTGTAATGCCTCACCTTTATTTTTACAACAAATTGTCCTGTTGTAAAATAATACGACAGCTAACCGTCCATCTTAAAATACTTAATCTAAAATGTCCTGATTCCTTGGCCTCGGATGACATCATATTTGATCCTCTTGTGGAGCAACCTCTCTGGAATTATAATGACTTCTATTTGCAAATGCATTTATTTTTTACATTATTGATTCCTGTTTTTACCTAGATCAGTATGAGGAACCTCAGGTGTCAGACACAGAATGGCAGGTGAGACCCATAAACTTCTCACCAGACATTATATGACTGAGACAAGATGTGAACATGAGGGAGATCAAGTGAAGAGGAAGTTCACCAAGAAAACTACCAATCACTTAAATAAAGCTGTGTCCTCTCTGTAGACGGGTTTTATTATGAAACATGTTCACTTGTGTACTCATGACAAAGACCTGCTGGTAAAGCCCATAGAAGAAACAAGCCATATAGCAGAGTTAGCGTAGCATCACTTGTCCTAGCCTTGGTAAAGATTAGCCTACTAAACACAATATATGTTAAATAAAAACAAAATGTATTTATTTATTTGTAGAGTTCTAAACATGATACAAGTTTATGTATAGTTTAAGAGGGTAGCTCCAGAGGACAACTGTCCTGATACTTTGGTAGACTGTTGACTCTTCTTGGTCTGAGCAACAATTGTTACTTGATGGTTGAAAAGCTAGCCAGAGTTAGCTTCCATAATGTCCATTTATCAGACACTCTTGGCCTGTAGCATCAGAAATGTAACAGTTCAGTTGTGCTAATTAATTTAATGTGACCAATCACTGATCACTGCAATTTTTTTCTGTGTTTTTTTTAACAACCCACAAGCTCCTGTCATTTTAATTGAATTACTGTCGTTTTCTGTGTTTAACATAACCCAACATAACCTCCTGTCATTTTAATTGAATTACTGTCAATGGTTTATAAAACACCACTTACAGGTTATAGTTAGCGAGCTAGATGCTTAATGTTGACAAATGCAGAATACTGATATATTGGAAAAGGGATGGTATGGTTATTTAACATATTTTTTTTTACTTAATTACTGGAATCAGGTCATTATTAGTGAACCACCTACAATAAACCAACAGATTCAGGAGGTCTAATCCCAACACCAGCTGGCAGAGTTTAAGGGTGCAGGGATAGTTGCCTTCAAGCACACACACCTCAATAATCTCTGGCCCACTACCCTGAATCTGTCAATCTTACTAAGAGGAAGACGGTTTAACAATCAACTGTAGAGAAAGAATACTGCAACAGAGGTGGTGTTTTTTGTAATGATCACTTGGCTTTTGGGTTAGAGATAAAAAAATATTCTGCAATATTCTCCTACAGAAGGTTAATCCACTCGTATCACGTTGAATCTTCAATATTGAGTTGAAATAATAATAAAAAAAAGTCTAACAATGTTAAGGCAGCATTTACTGCTCTGGTGTTTCTGTTTTGCTCATTTCTCCAGCTTATAGTTCCTACTGACTTTAAACTATATGATGTGATGGTTTTCAGGGCAAGTTTATCAAATAATATTTTAAGGTTATAGCTTTTGGGTTTTATTGCTGACTTCAAAGTATATCTCAATCAAACAAACATGCTTATTTTTGTTAGTAACAATGACCAGTGCTTCTTTCTGACTAGTTATTTGGACCGTGGCCTCCTTCTTGTTTTGCAGCAGATTAACCTGCACCAGAAGGTCCTGGGCTCAAAGCCCTGCTATTGTATTTGACTAAACAGATTAACCTATCACCTTTAGTCACATGCCAAATCTCAAAGCCAATTTAAGCTACATTTGTTGCATCCTTCTGTCATAAGCATACATATTTACTCACAGGTCGAAGGCGTGCCTAGACAACCGAGTTTCCTGTTCCAAAATATAGGCAACAACCTAAATATATAAGATTTATTATGGAGAGATGAGACTTTTAGTGTTTTCGCGAAGCCATAAATACTACATCCTGGCTTGTTTCATAACACATGGGTAAACCGCAGAACCATAATTCATGCTGTTGATCATCCAGAGCCTCCTGCTAATCTTTTCTTGGTAACATCTCTCTTTGACTGCTGACTGCCGCATACCCACAAATCAACAAACTTCCACTGCCAGGGCGAAGACACGTCCCGTCTGCACACGTGATAATATCTGAGGCATTTTCTTTTTAAGCCATAGTGGAACAAATATAATGTATGTCTGGTGTGTGTGAAAGGTTCATTAGTCAAACTCAGGTCAGCTTCACAGGCCTGACATTTAGCCGCAGTCTCTCACTCTCGCGTCTCTTAGTCAGGACACTTCCAAACTGAGACATGAGTCCCAGAGGCCTGGAAACCCGACCCCTCACCCATCAGTGTCTCCTCCCTCACACGACCTCCCTGCACTTAGATTTTGTGTGACACTGTGGCAGGTTCGCATGGACACACTGCCCTTTGGAAAATTCCCTGGCCGCGACCAGCACGAAACTTTGAGTAACGCCACGTTCGGTCGAGACGGTATCTAGGAGTGAATTATCGCCACAGCTTTGATGTGGTGACGCCACTGACATATTTATGACCACTCCGTTGATATCATGTTCTGCCCTTGTCAGCAATTTCAACAGGAACAGTACAGGTGAATCATACATTTAAAATCAAGCGCAATTTTTCATCAGTCGGCCAAAATTAGATTAAATTAGGATTGACCAACAAACACTCCCCAACAATATCATCTCACAGTATTTTTTGCAAACATTCTTCAATACACAGTTTTTTTCATTTCAATATAACTTAAAACAACCTGGAGGCACAATTGTTGGAAAAAAAACATTTCTTTAACACTACCGGCAAAAAAGCTTTTGCTAGCCTAACTTTTAGCCTTCTTAATTGTGAACCTGTTAATTGTAACATCTGGTGCTGACAACTTAAATGACAACTTTGTATCTTTTCTGGTTGGTCATTTATAAAGCTAATATTTTGCTTCTTGCTACATTCTTCTTTTTTAATTTTTGCTTTGTGAATGAAACCTTTTTAGAGGAATGTTTTTGGCAAGTAATGCCATTATTTTTGCTAACTGCGCTAACTAATGAAATTTGTTTTTGGATAACTGGCTATTTTCTATGCTAACCTTTGGCTAGGTGATAACATTTAATAAAATGTACAACTATATTTGAGCTAACATGAATTTGTTGAGCTGTTGTCAAAAACTTGCTGATTTTTGACAACTTCTACAAATAAGCTACCTTTTGGAAATATTATTCTTTTAGTTAACCCTTGTGTTGTTTGTTTTTTTTTTTTTTTTGCCCATCATAAGATATGTTCTCTCACTTCATTCAATTATTTCTGAGGTAATGTATACCATATCTGAACCTTTATAAACAGTTCGTTTTTTTTAGTAAGTCATTTGTTGCTAGCAATTTTGACATTTGGGTACTTTTTATCTTTGCACCTGTTTTCATATGTTGTCTTGTTTCTACAAGCCTAGTGAGTGAAAATTGAACATTATACATTTTCAAATTTGCCTCCGTGATAAGAGGCAGATTTAATATGTCATGCCATGAGTTTGCACACACCCACATTTGCACGGACATGCTCTGACCCACACGTTCAGCCTCTCCAAACCCAGCTGCAGCCTTACCTCTTGAAGAAAATCTCCCACCCCGTCAGCTGTTGTGCTCCTGCAGGGCCAGGGACTGTGCCTTCAGCCTGTACCAGCCCAGACGAACCTTTATCTTTAAGTATGAATTGTTTCTCCTTTTCTCTGCTCTCCCTTCTTAACAGTGTGTGTCCCCTTTTCTCTCCTGTGTCCCGGCCTCCGCTGATACAATCCAGGTGGAGAAGAGCTGCGTTTTTTCCTGAATGACAGAAGGAGCTTCTGTTGTTGATGCTGCTGCTGCTAACGCTGCCGCTGTGCTCGAGGATGATGATGATGTCTGAGGCTGGGGACTAGAGAGACGGACCGCATGTGTGCATGAGTTTGTGTGTGCCCGTGTGTGTGCGTGAGACAGAGAGAGAGAGAGAGAGAGGGGGAGAGAGAGAGAGAGAGAGAGAGCAGTGGTATGCTAGGAACTGCCAAGTAGATATCAGCCTGTTACAGTTAAATTTAAACCACCCTCCCTCCCTGCTGACACCTTGAGCCACTGCTGCCTCTCCAGCATGCACACACACATACACACACACACACACACACACAGCAGAAATGGACATGCACACTGGGTTCAGATAGGACCATATGGCCACTGACTAAACACACTCCTGTAGAGTTTATCCGTGTCCATCAGGAAACAAACAGAAAGGGCTGTAGAGGAGCAGAGGAATTCATCCATCCATTCATTCATTCATTCATTCATTCATCCATCCATTCATTCATTCATTCATTCATTCCCTCAATAATCTAATTCCAGCCAATTTCAATCCAAACAGACTGTTACAGCTGGTTAGCGGTTTCAAACATCGCTCTACCCTCATAAATAAATTCCTAAGAGTAAATTCAATGTTGACCTTGATGTTGCAATCTTGCAACACATTTCAGAAGAAACTAGTTTTGTGTGAGCAGTGAGTTTGTCTGAGGTTCATTTTTATTGAGTCCTTGTAATAAAGAGGTTCCAATGATGAAATAGAAAAGATTTGATCATTATGCCCTTCAAGATTGAATTATGCCGACTTTTGCGAAGGCGAACATTTGTTTATGGAATATTAGAAGCCCTCGTGGATACTGTATGTTCCTCATCCTCCCAAGGCTGTTTGTATTCCAGTATAATCTAAGGTCATGCACATTCAGCAGTAGTTTATGCCCTACAGCTTGAAGACAGATATTTCTACTGACTTCCTGGATATTTCACAGTAAAGTTACCTGTAGATGGTGAATTAATGTCTTCTCCAGGTCTTTGAACTGTTAGATCGTCCTCTCTCCTTAGTTGTTGCTCGATTTATACACAAAAACTATAACGTTACAAGATAACCTGATCATTCACTCTCCTTGTGTTTGTCACTCTGTTTAAATTCTCTTCCCCTCTTCCCTGTTCCATGTACCTGTTCGTTTATCTTCCTCACCTTGGAGAAAAGTGAGGTTACACTTAAAATAGGGACCAGACTCCAAGTGTCAGCCCCTCCTCTGGTTTTAAAACTGGGTTAGTTTAGTGGTGCAGTGTCGGGCTGAAGGGTCAGTCACGTCTGAGTCAGGGCCTCTGCTGATGTCAGAGCAGCAGTGACAAGGTCATGGGACTGTTTTGGCGAAAATCTTTGTCCTTTGTCCTGCATCACATAACCTCATGGACCCCCTGCAGTTCACCCACTGAGCCTCCAGGGGGTGGAGGATGTAATTCTGACATTGATACACCAACTTACACACACACAGCATTAGAAACTCATGCCTTTACTCTTAAAGCCATGATACCAAAGAGTCTTTTGACGTATTGGCTGCTGAGTTTCTTCTTAACTGAGGTCTTATATATATTAGACTGTTCATCTAGTTGGTCAGAACAGGTCCTGGGGACATCTCTCCAGCCCTCACTCATCAATAATAATAATAATAATAATAATTATTATTATTATTATATTGACAGGCTACAAATGTTGGTAAACCGTTGCCTTTTCAGGAACAACATCACTGGTTTGATTCCTGGTTCATCTCTCTGTATGGAGTTAGTTCTTCCCATGTGTGCCGGCCAATGGCTGCTTGGATAATAAAGATAATAATAATACGTCATCTTAAAATAATTCTTACAGTTGGGTATTCAGTGAAAAACTGTCAAGTTGAATTAAGGAGGGCAAAACTTCACGGAGGAGAAAATTGCAAATGAAGGGGGAAAAAAGTCCCACTCATGGAATCTGGGAAATACCTACGCTGTGGTTTGAAAGGGAACGTATTCTCTGTTTAATTTTGTTCAGTCTCATTCTGACACCTTTATTCTTGGCACTCATCGGTACCATGTTCTCAATCCATGCTATTTATGTAGCCATTCTATAGCTATTATAGTGATCCCACTCCTCCTGCTGTGCCTATGCTGCAGCAGCCAACTGTAATCATGACCAGCACTGGTCAATGTCAGAGCAGATCAACGTGCAGTGTCTGCATAAAAACAAGGCCATTCCTGCACAGATCACATTTATTCAAGGTCCCAGGAGAGGGCGAGGGTAAAACTGAGGTAAAGCTGTGAAACTTTTCACAAGAGAAAAAAGAAACCTCGTACACACCCCTATAAAACACACAGATTTATTAGGGTTCAGGAACATCTCTGCATGGCTGGTATTTATGGCCAGTCTGAACCTCAGTGGAGTCATGATTTCTACACCTCCTGAATCAAAGCAGCCTTTGTGGTAAACGTGTTACTCTGTGTAACTGCTTGTCATTTCCCAAGTAATAATGTTTTAACACCGCACTACTTTAAGGTAGTATGGATGAATACCCAATACAACCATGAATGAAACCCTCAGTCACAGGAAGTTAATCTGTGAGTAAGGTTCCACTCTGTCTTTGTGTATGTTTGTTTTGTGAGAACAGACCCTCTAGGTGGCACTATTGCAGCTAACAAGATGTAGCAGGCTATGGGTGTTAGCAGAATGACTTTAATCACATCTTTGGAACAGAGATGTCACGATACATGTCTCGGGATGTGATGGGGTGTTTTTTAAAACTTTTTGCTGTTTTGTAAGTATAGAGTTTAAAAGAGTAACAGAGCAAGTTTTTTGTCCATTCCATTCCCTGCATGCAGTTGTATATTGAACACTATATAGCGCCTCCACTGGTAGCTTGTGTGGGTTGCAAAGCCTGTAAATTTTCCCCATTGGGGGACATATCTCCAATATGGTTCACTTCTACCCTTTTGTGGTATGATAACAACTGTAAAATGACTGACATCATTCACAGTTGTGGTTCTTATTATCCACTATAGTGAATGTATCATTTCACTTATATTTCATAGTAAGTTATATCTGCAAACTCAACAGTATAAATGTAAGAAAAGGGAAGCTGATATCCCTGTTACTGTAGCACTATGCTAACTGCACATGTGGGGTGTAATTTGATACTTAACGCTGTCAAAAGAAATGCACATGCTACTGCTGTAAGTGGAGCACGAGGCCAAACATGAGACCTAACATAAAGGAGCTTTCATGGTCTGTGCTGCTTTGAAGAAACGGAGGTTTGAAAATGAGCCTGCGAGAGGATTGTGTCCCTGTGCGATGTATAAACGCAATTCCTGGGCCACAAATGAACTGATCTGAACTCTCATGTGCACACAGGTGTCATTCAGAGCGTCACATACTGTTTCTGGTGTCCTGCACTCACACATGCGTCAGCCTTTGTGTCCTGGAAAAGCATTGCAGTGTCCTGGAAGACCATTTACAGCTGCGGTGTGTGTAGAGCACACAGGTTATAAAGGGATTTTTCTTTTATTAAACAACTCCCTTGTGGCCGTTGTCATCAGACAAAGTCGCTCACTTTACCGTCCCTTAACCTACACTTAAACTTTATATAACTTGCTACACTACACACTAATCTTTTAGTAAAGCACAGATGGTGAAACCGTAGAGAAATATGTTTGCTGTTATTCTTAAAAACAAATGGGACGACAATGTGACAGGAGAAATACTGCTAAAAAAGTTGGTCAAAGATACAGTGGCAATACAGAGAAAAATGACATTGTTTTTTGTGAGTTGCTTATATTTAATTTTTTTAATTATTGTAATCACTTTTTTAGTTAAAGCAATGGACCATGGAATGTATATGTAATAAACACACGCACACATAGAAAACCATGTGGTGAAAGATGGTGAGTTAGAAACGTCCAGTCATGCAGCGTCTGTCATGAAGTTCTCACAGCAGGCAGCCGGTGAAGTTAATTTTGTCATATTTACAATTAGGGGTCGGTGTCAATTTACTACTGTACATGCGTCAACACCAAGGGGGCTTTAAACTGGAAATAACTGCATTTCCTGTACGTTTTCAAACAAGTTTGGCTTATTATTTAAAATTGATATCTGCAAAAAACCTTTGGTCAAAAACAGTGTGTAGTAGCAGCAGTGGAAAGGTCATACAGGTCACATTCTAGGAGGACTCTCAATAGGCATGTCAATATACTGTAGTGCAAGTTCAAAATACTGTTTTTGATTCTTATTCTGAAGTCAGATCAAATAGAGAAATTTTACAGTAACAACGGGTTTTCTCCACTCCAGTTCTGTATTGAGATGAACTAAAAGACAACAAAAACATGTTCTATTATCAGACACATCCAACATTTAGATTTAGTTTCACTTTCTGCCACTATAGCAGCTAACGCTAGGATCTGTGGCCCGATGAGTCCACTTTTACACCAGAATCTTCATGTAATTATCAGCAGGACAGTACCACGGCCCAAATTCTAAAAGCATTGAGCTGTAAAAATAACGTGAATGCAAATCTCTTACACACGATGTCGTGTCATACAACAGCCATGACCGATTGTCTTTATCTGCAAAAATTGTATGGTTACCAATACAAAATCCAAATATCGTTTTTGCATTTCCTTTTTAAATATAAGAGCTTCTTCTGAAATTTGGTTTGTGCTCTGATAATATTCCTGTCTGTAAATCAGACACAGATCAATGGGTCCTTAGTGCAGTCAATTTGTCCTTGATTTCATTGTGGAATGATTTGTTAGCTGCGATGCAAATCTATCCTAAACATTTTTCCACTTGGAACTGCCAAGAGTCCATGATCCTTCTCCTCCTTCCCCCTTTTTCTCCTCCTTCTCTCCTCCCTCCTGTGCCATCAGCACTATTAGAGTGGACAGTTTAAAAACAGAGGTATTTACGACTCAGCACTGGCCTCTAAAGTTCCTGGAGCTTCACACCAGCAGTGTGACACCGCCCGTTTAAAGATAGACATCGTTTGGGTTTGGTTATCTGGCTGACCCCTGTGCAATTAAAGCAACACTAAGTATAGTATAAGAAGGACATTTCCAAAAGCTGGAGCGGGGACCGACCATCGCACGTGGACTGGATTTTTATTGGCCAAAATCTTATTTGTTTTCTATCTTGATAATATAATATCTTACATTTAGCTGTAGCTGGGCTAACTATTTTTTACAGGCTTTTGTGCTAATGTTAGAGAAAGTTTCTTGCCATATTTTAATTGCATGCTTTATTTTTTAAAAACATTTTTGGGTCTCAAAGCAAATGTTTAAACCTGTAGCCTTTTTTGATATGTAGTACATTTTGTTTTTCTTTTTTGACTTTTACTCTTCATTGAAAGGCTTAAAGATGATTTTTGATCTATTGTGTAAATGAGAACCAACAGATAAAACTGTAAAATAAAGAATGAAGGAGAATCAAGGACCTGAAGTACAAATATCAGTAAAAATATCTATATCAGTTTTATGACAATATTTCCAGACTAAATATTTACCAAAATTAAATATTTTGAAGTAAAATCCCAGCATTTTATGCTGAGATAATTCACCTAATGCAAAATTCTAATCGAAACTTCTCAGCGTCTGAATCAAAAGAATCTGTCGCCACCTACTGGTCAAAGGGAGTGTTGACACAACCTTCTTTCATAATTTTAACCCCAGCAAGCGGTGCTAATTGCACATTGGCTTCACCTGCTTGGATCTGCAGTGAGAAGGTGCAGCGAACACTGGGTGTCCTTACCCAGGACTTGGATTGGCGATTTAAATTTTTGTTTTGTTTTTATCGTTGTGTTTTGGTTCTGTCACATAGTTGAACTGGACTCCTAATGGACACCATAAAGTACCTGGAAATGTCACAAGATTCCACCAAGAGACAGGGTGACGTGAAGATGGGTAAGTATGAAGACATTCTCACCCTGACAAAGGAGGTGTTAAAGCTAATATTTACTGTTGTTGTGCTTTTTTATGCTGGATTTCTGTAGAAATCTCAGAACTTGTATGCACCAACTCAATGCTGCAGGGGATGAAGGGGTATCAGCCAACACCAGGTGACCTGGAGTTTATTAGGATGATGAAAGAAGAGAAACTGCAGGTGCTTCTGTTGCTTTCACTCACATTTATATGATTTTATTACTACAATTTCTTTCTAAGGTGACCAGTTTGTGATTAATCTGTGGACTGTCCTCAGGCCAAGATCAAAGACATTCACATGATATTGGAGAAGAACCTACATTTGGAACTGGTCTCCAAGGACACGGAGAAGGCTACCTTTACACAGGTGGATAAAAAGATACGTTATCCATGTTATTTATAGAAATAAGCCACTTAAAAAAACAAGGGTTGATATGAAATTAAGCCTTTCACTGTTTCTGTTGAGTCACATGGAAAAAATATTTGTTCATTGTTTTGTTTTTGGTTTTTGTTTTTTGTTTTTTTGCAATTATGTTAGGTGTTGACTTACATAATTAGGAATATAAAAATAAACCAGTAGGTGCCAGAAAAACAACTTACGGTTACACCTACTGTTAAACTGTCTATTGCTGGAAAGGCAAAAAAAAAAAAAAAAAATCTAAGAAATCTAAATCTGATGTTAGATGTGTACAAAGAGGAAGGCTGTGTATGTTATTATATTTGGACAGTCCCCAGAGCTGCCCACTAATATCCTGTTGTTGTTTATGAACATGATACTGTCCAGTTTGCAGGTATATTTACTATGAAATAACACAAGACATACAAAGACTCAACGATCATACGATTGTACATATTCCGGTTATTACAGTGACGGCACATACTAGATATATGCGTACAGTATGTGAGTTCTGACCGAGGTTTGAGTTACGTCGCACGGTGTGAACGGAACTCTGAAGTGGAGAAGCCTCTGTATTTGAACTGTTGTTTATTCTTTTACAGGCAAAATTAATGCAGGAGAAACTCCAGACATTTATTGACAAGAAGAGGAACGAGTTGTTGCTGATGAAGAGGATGATGGCAAACAAGTAACAATTAAATAATCTTTTTTTTTTTACAAAGTTACTAATTAATACCAAAAGTGTCTGAATGTAAATTTTTATCTCAATTTTTGATAGCGAGAAAAAAATTACTGAAGAAATAGAACAACTTGAGGTAAACAACGTCACCTGAGATGTTTTAATTAATTGACCAAAATGAGTTGTTGAGTCAAATGATCATATATTTTGGTTAATTATGAATATTTTTGATGAACACACAGAAGACCATGTTTGGCCTCACGCTGGAAATTGCACAACAGGAGGTGAGACAACATTCTTAGAAACAACGTTGGTGAACTAATCAAAGTGTTCCACAGAGTCACTGCAGTTTCTTCTGACACAGACACAAACCAGCAGAGAAATCAAAAATGAGGTGGAAGCACGAGTCGTCTCAGAGGAGCTCGGTGATCAACAACAAAGGCTCCGGGACACAACAAACCACGGCCAACCGAGGAGGAGAGAATCCCCCGACATTGAAACAAAACATGTGGAGGAGACCAGCGTGGAAAACAACACCAACAAAACCGTGAAAATGACAAAAACCAAAGCCAAGTCTGTGAAAACAGCCAAGTCGAAGCAGAAGAAACTTGAAGAGCCAGAAGACAATTCCAAAAAGTCCAGGAGGGGGAGAAAGAAACCTCCAGAAGTCTCCGCTCCTTCAGGGAGAATGGGAACTGAGCTGAGTCCTGAAAAAACTGCAGCTTCTCAACAGGGAGGTGTTGATGAGGAGACACAAAACCCTGCTCTGAGGAGATCCAGGAGGCTGGCAAAAAAGAGCTGACGTTTGTACAAGAAGCTAGGAAACATCTCCATTTGGTTTGAACATAAAACAACTCGCCAATATTCTGGAGAGAGTGAGTGTCGAGATTCCTCAGATTGTTGATTTTAAACTTACTTAATTTTTTTTATTCAATAAAAAGTGCTCCACTTCTGATACTACAGCCTGCATACTACATCTGACCGTGCAAGTTTTACATTTGGCCGAAATACACTGAATTATGAGGCAAATGTGTACAAGGTCCTGTTTAAGTATTTAAAGATTTGAGGTTGCTGTTGATATGAAATGTCTTCTTAAAAGTGTCCGGTCTAAAGAAAACAATTTTGTAATATTAAATTTCTAGGTGATTAATCCATACTCTAATAAAAACGTTTTTCCCCAAAGGCCTTTTATCTAAAAGAAGAACAATAAGAGAGGAAAAAAAGAAGCAAAAGCTCCAAATAAATGCTAACTCTTTCTTTGGTGGTTTCCTTGGATAAAGAAATCAACACTACAGATTTGAGGAGTGGTCTTTCTCAGATTATGGCTAGGCATTAGCTTAATTAGAAGCTAACGCTTCTAATTTGAAAAAAAAAAAGTAAAATGGTAGAGTTGGTGGTAAAAAAAGAGACAATTGGCAAACTTTATGAAATAATGAAATATAGGGTTTTTAAAAATCAGTCAAAACATGTTTCAAGAAAAGCTGAAAATTAGCCAAGTTTAGCATAAAGTTAGCCAAACACTGGCTCAATGGGAAGTTTAAATAGATATAGATGAAAAAAGTCAAACATGTTGTTTCTTAACTGAAGCCTGGGAAACTTTCTCCCTCTGACTGTAATCCACTCTCTGACTCTTTTCCCCCCTCTCTATAAGTATGCCAACAGATCTGTGCGATGGTCAAACACAACCACACAGACTAGTCATACAGGCAGAAACCATTGATCAACATCCTGCTATTAGCTTTAATAGCCTGGTGTCAATAAAGTCACTTTACCTTTCCAAAAAACTCTCAAACATCAGTTTCTGCTGAGCTATTGGCTGAAAACTGTTTTTTTCTGTTATTCCTTTTCCCCCCTTTTTCTCTTCACGGCTCCAAGTTTCTCTGTTTGTGTTTGCCAAACCTGGAACCCTGAAATGTTTTACAAAGTCAAAGGCATGGGAACGTTACCTCAAATACGTCAATTTCAGAAATCAGATCTTGTTTATGAACCTCTTCCAAGCAGACAGCCCGGATCCTGGCCCAAAGAATTGTGGGTAATGGATTATTTACAAATTGCTCATGTCTTTTGCCTTGCGGCTGCACAAACTGCTCTGTTTTTGGGGGCACTTTTGAAATGACCTCAGTATTTTTCCCTATTTAGAAGGAAAAGGCAAAAACACTGTCGCTGTTCTTCATTAGGAAATGTTGTGGATTAGGAGTGAGAAAATCTAAATAAATCTATAACTGTATGGTTAAAAATAACTTGAACAATAACAACATATTTACTAGAACATCTCTGGCAGATGAGATGTTCTAGTAAATATGACGTGGATTAGACCAGCGGTCCCCAACCTTTTTTCGAACACTTAAATAGAAAAATCTAAGTTTAATAAAATTATGCATTTTTTTCACAAAAGAAATTCCAGATAAGCTAATACATTAGGCAAAAGCTAAAAGGTGATGTAAGAAAAATGCTAAAAAAAAATTAACCTAAAACTGCACAAAATATTGCAATAAATAAATAAATAAAAGTTTTCTAAGAAGACTATAAACTGAAAAAATTAAATTAAAAACTGCTAGAGCAAAGATTCTGAGCCTGTGTCAAAGCCTGTATTTTAGAACTTTATAAAATATATAAAATATAATATAAAATATGATGTATAATGTCAGATAGCCTCATAGGTCTAGATATAGTCCAAGTTATAACTAGCACTCAATTATTTAATTTTATTTTCGCTCAAACCTGGAAATTAGTGATTTTGTTTTTCTATCAAACCCCATAGGTTGTTGTTGCAGTTTTGCCTACCTCACGTTTTCACTGCTCTTTTTTCTGATTTAATGATGAAAATAATTCAGTTTAGTTTATGAGTAATTTAAGTGTGGAATACTCTCAAACATCATAAACAGCCAGTGTTTGTGAATCTCTGGTTTCCCTGTGTCTCTGCCTCTGCTGTCACTGATGCTTCTGTGTCTGTTCCTCAGGCTGGGTTCCAAATACTGCAGTGTTTACTGCAGTCTGACCTCAGTTCTGACTCAGGGGCTTTTTAGTACATGGTTCAAATCCCCGGTAAAAGTGGAAAATATATTTACTTAGCCTTAAAATTCAGGATAGAACACTTTCTAAACTGCATATGAACATGGGTTTTTTTTCATGCCTGATTATCAGACTATATATGTTACATGATTTGAGTTTTAATTTTCTGTTGGTTTAGATACTCACCAGTTAAATCTACAGTTGCCTCAGTTTTAATAATTTTTCTAGTTTTTTTTAGTATGTCTGCTGTGACAAGTATTCAGCTGCAGTCCATTTGTCCTTCCCTGTTATGTCTCTGTGTTTGACTTGGACTCAGAGACATGTCGGTCCCCACTGCACTGCCAAGGAAAAGCCAGTAAAAGTATATTAGAGTGTGGGCTGAGCCCAGAGGAGGTGACACATGTATGTGCCGCCGTGCCAGAAACACACTGGTGCAACATGGACCACAGCCCACGAGTCTGAGTCTGAACCAAGTGTGGATCCCACAGTTTGGACATCTTGTGCCAGAGGCACTGTTCTAAGAGCCACGTATTTACTGGCTGTGAAGCTACACGGACTTTAACTGGTGATAACCAAGACGAGGTCACCTGTACTAGTAAAACAAAACCTGGCAACCATTGAAACTAGTTCTGTTCTGGTACTTGACTCAGACTCAACTAAAACTTTTCTTCAGTGACAATTGAATCTGATTCATTAACCCTGACTAATCACAGGGTAGCTGTTGATTAAACTGATCGTTAGTGCAATGATATGTGGATGGACGGTGGAACTATTGGGTATTAAAAAACTGGGAGGCACCATGAAGCATTTGGTTTCTCTGGGGCTTCAACCCAGGACTTTCTGCACGTAATTCAATGTGTATGACACACAAAGCCAATTTTACCCTGTGGAACCACAATAGAACACGTATCACTGTCCATGTGGTAAAAGTGTGAAAAAAAAAAACTCAATTCAACTTTTGGACTTAAAATCCTGAGGATTCTGGCTCCACTTTATTTGTCTAAGGTAACCTGTCACATGAAACTTGAAACTCGTTTTTTTGTTTTTTTTTTGACCATGTATCAAGACCTTGGAGACTCAATCAGGTCCAATCCTTTTCATTTGTCAATTGGGTTCTGGCCTAGAATCCTGAGGACTGGATCATTTCTGTAACTAGTAAGATATTTCTTCAATAACTCAGACTCTGTCTCTAAGCCAGAGACCAGGAGTCCATTAAACTTTACTTAAGTGTCTTGGGCTTGGACTTGAAACCCGGTGGATTTATCCTGACCTCAGGTAATTTGGACTCAGACATTAAGGGTGGGAACCAAACTCAGACACGGTTTTAACTACTACTCCTGTCGCACACAAAGACTAAGACTTGAACCAGAGGGGGATCAACTCAGATTTGACCCAACTTTTCTATCTGGATTTTGAACTGTAGTTACATTTAAACCTTTTGGTCATTAAATGTTTAACTCGTAATCTTTAGGATGTAAATCCAACATCCTTGTCCCTTTATTATTGATGAAGGTCAAAGGTTTCTGAAACAGGACATCTTGTTATGATGGCTGCTTCTCGGCCGTCATAAATCCCTCGCTCTGGGACTCTGTTCTAAGTCAACACAGTCTGGGTCTGAGCACGGTGCAAGTGAACTAAACTGGGCCAATGAAAACTTGTCGTCCTGGCGAAGGAAAAGAGAGTGCGCTCAGTCTGTCAAAGCTGGACAAACACGGTCCAACAGGGCAGGACTGAGCCCCTGAGGAGGGACTGCGTGGTCCGTCAGCAACCCTTTAAATTTCACGTTCCTTCTCCTCTGCGTGAGCTGTGTTTTTATTTTTGTTCTGTCTCTGTTTTGACTCAGTCTTTCCTTTTCTCTCTCTCTCTCTGTCTTTGTCACACGTCTACAGGAAGTCGGTGAGGTTGTGTGGGGGATTTTACGTATCAGCAGTGGCTACATGAAGTGGCAGCTAGGTGGTCTGGAACACCTCCCTGAGAATCATGGGAAGGACCAGTCTACTGCATTCCCATAGAGTAAAATAATACATCCCAAATCCATGGTGATTCACAGCTAGTTCTCGTTCATCATAGTACATGTATATATATATATGTATGTATGTAAATACATACATACATGTATATATATGTATGATACATACATGTATATATATTGTATGTAAATACATACATACATGTATATATATGTATGTATGTATATATATATATACATACTGTACATTTACGTAATGCTATGTTCAGCTGCACTGACACTAAACCTTCCTTTATTCTCTTTTCTCCCACTTTTGCATATTCAGGCAAGGTTCAGATGGTTCTTGCATATGTTATAGAGATAAAGCGGACATGACGGATAAAGGAGCAGGAGTCGCCAGACAGGAGGAGGAGAACAAGACACAGAGAAGGTTAGTGAAGGTTGGTTCTACAGTAGAGGGAAAGACTGGGTGAGACAGTGAGACAGAGGCAGATGATCAGTTATGGTGGCTCTTAAAAGCATCTTTTTTTAGCCTTAAAACTGTATCTTTGCTCTAGAAGAGTACGTTTATCCTCATCGTCCTCCGTTTGTCTTTAGTAAAGAGCTGAGCTGTGGCTCCTAGCAGGACTTTGTGCCACTCTACGTTACTGCCACTGTCACAGCGGCTTTGACAAGTTGCTTTGTTATGCTTGGATGCACCGCAAATCGGCCACAGCATATTTTTCCAGAGGAGTATTGGAGTCAGGGAAAAGAATTAAGTCGTCTAGGGTTTATTTTTAGGAAATTGTTGTGATGCTGAGGTATCTTGGCAAAACCCCTGATCCTCTGTCTCCCTCAGTCGTCTTTTTGTTTCTCTCGTCTGCAGCTGTGATCCTGCCAGAATCCTCTCAACGTTGTTGATGCTGAGTAGGACAAATACATTAGCACTGCAGCACCGAAGAGTGAGACCCTAATGACTTGATTAGGCTCCTCAGGAGGAGGCTGACTTCATCTCTGGAAGTCATTTAGTCGGCCGTAAAAGTATGTTAGTCTAGTATTTATAGGATTTTGAGGTGTCGTGTGTGAGGCCTGATTGCACTGTGAAAATCAACATCTTTTACTGCACATTAATCCCGACAATTACACACAATAATAAAGTTGCATTAGTCAATTAAAGCACACAAATGCTTGCACTAAAGCCTCTCTGTCGTTTAGTGGTTTGCCCAAGCATGGAAAAATCTCAGAAACAAAGTGTGAAGGGCTGAGGAATGTGTGAGAATGAAATCACAGCACTTCTTGCTCCTATACAAACACACAACAATCAGATGACCAACTGAATCATCTGCACCCATTACCACTGAGCCAAGTCACATGTTAATGATTAACCTCAATCTACAGGAATCACAGGCAACAACAGCAGCAACGGTGTAAAACTGAAGCAGAGACAAATATCTAAAATTATGAGAATGAAGTCAAAGATCCAAAAGGTTACCTTTTCATGTCTACACTATAATTACGACTCTGATTAATGAATGACTTTATACACATGAATGTACAACTTTATTGTTGTAAATTCAATGTGTGACTATTGTTTTTCTCTTAAACGTATGACTTAATTCTCAAACATTTAGATATTTTTTCCCCCAATTTTGTCCTGATATTTTGTCGTAGATCCCTAACTTGACCTCAAGTGAGGGCTATATTTTTTCTGTTTGACTCTTTGAAGTTGCAAAGCCGTTATCAATCAGTTAATTTTGATACTGTGCACTTTCTCTGTGTCAAAGTCCCATCCAGGCACTGGCCCAGTTTGTTGTTATGGCTGCAGCACGTTTGTCTAAATAGTGTCTGAGATATTTTAGAAATACAGTATGTTTCCAGAATCTGAGATGTAGAGCTGTGGAGAGTAGCCAACACAGCGTCTTGTCTGGTAAACGATATTATTATGTTTTATTGCCAAGTTGAGAAGTAAAACAGGAAGAAAAGATCTCTGGCAGAGATTTTTAATTTTTTTAAAGGGCGTTGGATTTAATACTGTAGGACAACTGCTCATCTTGTGATGGCTAACATGCTCCATTTTAACAGAGTTTCCTTTAGAGAGCACGGAAAAGAGAAAAAAACTAGAATGGATTTCTACAAACTAATGTTTCTGACAAATAGATGATTATTTATCTGGGATTTTTCACAGATAAAAACCACTAACAGATAATGTATGGATGGAAGAATTTACAGGTCCCTGTCCAGGGCTAGCAGAGGCCTGCAGGGGCTAACAGTGACCTGCCTAGATTTGGGACAGAATCTTACCTGCATCAGTTTCATCTGACATAAAGACAAAAGGAAAACATTTCTGTTGAATATCTTTCCTCATGAACTCCCAGGACAGGACTATTCTCCTGATAGTCATCGGTGTTTCACACATTGAGCTGAAATACCTGTGGTCATTCTGATTTCTTCACAGTTTAAAACATGTCCTGCACGATACAAATTACCCATAACCCCCCACCCTCTGCAGCGTGACCACCAGAGAGTACGAAGAGAGTAGGAGAAAAAAAAGTCCATCATTCATCACCCATGTGGAAATCGTCTGTTAATTGGTGTGGACAGCTCTGACAGATGTTTCATGGGAAAAGAGGAGAAGACGTTTGGCTGATTTTTCATGCTGTGATATTTCATCAAGCTCTAGGGTCTTCAGAATCAGGACAGAGTTGGCAACACCAAGGACCTCTAGCAGGCTTGCAGTTACGTTTAGCAGTTTGATTGATTTGATTGGATGGTCAAAGAACACACAAAATCTAGGAAACTCCATCTATAGCGACTCGCTTGAAAATGAGATTTTCTCTGCGTCCACTGCTCCACTGTTAAAACTAATGCCATGATTACAACAGACTGAACTTTCAGCATTAGCATGGATGGAGAGAGAAAAGGAATTGTTGTTGATACTGGAACGCTTGGATAATCTGTACAACAGAGTCCAGTACTTAAATCAGTAAAACTGAAGTACATTTTTCTCACTTTGTCCCCCTTTGGCCCAGTACCAACTGGTCCCCAGACTGTGGATTTTGGACCCCTGATCTAGGATATATCTCGGCATACTACATTTCTACGTAATATGGATAGTTTCTATAGACATGATGGCGCCATTAGAATGTGGATTTGTTCAGGCAGGATGCCCCCAAGGCCTAGATAAGAAATACATGGCACACCACTGATTAAAGGTAACACAGCCAAAAATTAAAAAAGGCTAAATGTTTCATTTTTCCTAAATTTGGTCACTTTGAGGTTATTTTAATGTTGGAAATATGGGTTTATGACTTCTACTGTTTTCAAAGTCAACATTTATTTGGTCTCCTGGACGTGACTTCTTGCTTCAACCTCATTCCACTCTCCTCTGGGCAAAACTCACACATTTGTCCCAAACCAACTGGACCCAGACTTTGTCCTGGACCTGGTGCACAAACAGAATGACTCCACAGCAAACCAAGGCTAACAAGAGAATGATACTTAAATGAAAACAATTGGCTGAGACTCAAAGAAAAGAAAATAGAATTTCTAAAAGAAAGATCATAAAAAAAAAAAGACTGTACAACTCTCCTGCACCATATTTGCAGTAATCTTTGACATGGAGAGATTATCTTCAAGGCCAGTGGGGTTGGCTTGGAGTCAAATGACAGCATTATTTTCAGAGTATGGTAGAGAGTGCAGTTCTGGGCACAAACATTTCTGTTTTCATTAAATAATAGACAATGTAGTGTGTCTGACAAACTTTATTATATGATTTTTAAACCATTGTATTGTAAATTAGTTGGGCTTCATTAGTCAAATATTACCAAATATAAAACTTAATACCTTCAAAATAACTAACTCATTATTTTTAACCAATTTGTCAATTAACACACCATATATTGTTTTTTCAATTTGGCTGTAATGCCATTTGTTGTAGATTGAATTTCATTACATGTGTGATGCATTCTTTGGAGAATTTTTCCATTTATGGGGTTTGTTTTTATACGGGGCTTACACAGCCCACAGACTAAGTGTGAGCAGAAGTGAATGAGGCTCATTTTTCCATGCACTTTAAGGACATTTACTCCAATGAAATGGTTCTTGGCAGGCACACGTGTGTCTGTGTGCAGTGTGTTAGCGTGGGTCGGTGACTGACAAGCTGCAGACAGGCAGAAAAGGTAAACAGCAGTGGAATGAGCCGCTCCTTCCTCTAAATGTAATTGAATTAATTCCTGTTTAAAGCGGTAGCCAATGACATGCCTGCTGAAACACACATGGTCCTTAAACCATGGAAACAGACCTGATTGCTGGTTGGACCATAGGAATGTCTTCAAACACTAAAGAGATTCATAAGCAACTTTAGACAAAGAAAATGTAAAGTTAAATCAATGCCACAAACCAAATACAGTAAAAGAGTGGACATTTGTGAGAAAATTAACAAAGTTTTGTCCATCAGCTCATTTGTATTAAGTAACAACTGACAAACTATCTATTAGGTCAGGTTCAGAAGAAATCAGAAGAAACTACAATTCATTTTGAGTTTATGTTTTTCCAACTGTTCTTACTGGATGTTAGCCCACAGATGTCCCAGTATTTTAATATCAGATGTAATCAAAATGTGGAAAAAAATACAAAAGACAAAGAAACCTTTACAATAAGTAGGAGGTGGAGAAAATGCAGATGTAGGGGAAAAAAAACATCTGCAACGAGATGTTTCAGGCTCAAGGCCTTTGAAATCCCTTTAAATGTGTTTGTTTAATAAGGAACCACTATTTTTCCAAATGTCTGGAGATGTGAAGATTTCCAGGGTATGCAAAGATACATGTGTATATATAAAATCCTGATCAGCATAGTCCAGCCCTGAGGTAAGTGCACCAGCATATTTCTTCAGATTTGAATCTACTGTTCAGTTCCAGGCCGAACTTTTTCAAGAATTACTGGCAATAAGGACTTTGGGAAGTCTGAATCTTTGAGTTTGATTTTACAGATATAAATGAAAGCTTTATCCAACTGTGATACAGGAGGTCCTCAGTTTATGGCGTTAGAAAATAATTTTTGCAAAAATCGGGTAAAGTTGCGCCATAGGAACAGAATTCTAACATATGAGAAGAATCTGGCCCTGAAAGTCTGGAGATTCCTAAAGCTTAAATCTCCAGCTTGGGCTGGATTGTAGTGCCAACACTGTCCTTTTAAATCAACATTAAGTCCATCAGCAAATCTGGCTTCCTTCGTCTTCAAGTTCATTCCAACGTTCTAAACACAGGACTCCAGCTTTTCTGTTTCTTTTCTGAAATAAAATGAACCTGATGTTTGATTAATTGTTTTTTTTATTATTATTATTTTTGTAACAACATTATCTTACCAAATAGTAGGATCTCTAACCCACTGCTGGACAATTGTACCTCAAAATAAACAAACCATTCACAAACGCTGTAATAATATTAATAATATTAATAATAAAACACCACCATGTATGACTGGGAATCAAAAATTAATAAAAGCATACACTGACTGAGGAACATTCTTCTACTGCAGAACAGTTCAAATGTTGGCAAAAGTGTTTTTTTGTTGTTGTTTTTTACAGCCAATGATCCTTTTACTGTGATATCACCAGCCTTGTCATGCTCTACTCTGTTCTCTAATTGGCCTGACTGACCACTGTACAATGGCATTTTGTTTTTCCACTATTTAAATGGCAGGATCACGATATTCTATTTGAATAGGCTGACCCGGAAGGCACGCTCTACTAATGACTCGTTCCTGATTAAATAATAATATTTGTCTCGAATGGGGAACATTTGGTTTTTCATTGCAGCTGTGGCCTAGTGTATAACACACATTGTTAACGTTTTAAAAATACTCCACTTTCTCCATAAGTTCCATTGTCAGTAGCTCAGCCCTTTAAATAAATAAATTAATAAATATATGTATATATATATATATATATATATATATATATATACGTATTTCTCGTCCAAACCTTTATATAGGTGAGTCTGTCCAATCAAATTAGATGTTGTTTAGATTCGACAGCACATACCCAATCAAATTACTGGATATTGAAAAAAAAAGGACTTGTTTAACGAGGCGTCAGTTTGTTTGATAAAAATGACACCAAAGGTAGTTTAATTCGGTTATAAAAACTATGAGGTGGTCAACAAACAAATTGCAGTATGTAAAAGTTGAAGATAACAGACGGAGACGCTACTTCGTTCGACATCTGAAGCTGCACAACGAAAGGTAAGTTTTAAATGAATGCTAACCTAAGTTTTTGTTAACTGTAGTTAAATCCACGAGGCAGTAAAATCACCAATAACATTACATCCTAATCAGGCTAATAAGTGCGGTTGTCTGAGGCAGTCATATCACACACCGTTTTGACTTGCTGTCAGACGGACTTTTCAGAGAGGAAAACAAAGTTACACTGATTGTTGTTCACACTCTCCAGCAAACCAGAGTCCACTGACAAAAACAGGAAGTTTAGCTTGCGGCAAACGTGAGATATTTTTGTTTATACATTTTTTTTTAATGCTATAATTTGATTAGAAACATGCAGAAAAGATAACATTTTTAAAAAATCAAAACTTTTCTTAAAAAAATTTTACCATCTGACCACGGCATGTGAAATTAGGATTTTATGCAAAAAATTTTTAAAAAAAATTAATTTTTAAAAAAAAAATGCTCCTTGCAGAAAAGATCACACGCATCTCTGTGTGTTTTGAATAGGAAAAATCATACCATGAACCACCATGCATGTTGAACAGAAAATTCTTCCTATAAAACTCCAAACAATCAGCAATGAAAAAGTGGAACTCAAAAAGAATGGGGTGCGATCCAATG